CATAGATGGCGGCAAGATTGTCAGCCCTACGCGCCGGCCGCCCTTTACCCCCAAGAACATTCCAACAATATTCCTGGTACTCATTTCTGTTAGAGGTTGAGTCGATCCCAGGGCCATAGTGTGGCTGGAAGGATTCGGTCAATTGAAAAAAATCCAATGACATCATCGGGACTTGAACCCGCGACCTTCCGGCTTGTAGCATAGTGCCTCAACCAACTATGCTACCGCGTACCCCGTACTCCTGTGAGTGCAAAACATACAGAACGAGAAATTCAGACTTCAAAACACGCAGACAGAGAGGAAGAACACGGCATCAAGTACTCCTTCTACGCCTCTCTGAGCTGGTTGCTTCGTTCAACACTCACTCACGTGTGAAGATGTAAAATTATATTACACCCTCCAGTACGGCATTACGAAATCTTTCTCCGCGTATAAAAATGTGTTGTGGCACAAACATTTATTTCGTAACAAGTCGGATAATGGTCCCATATTTCATGCAGTAACTTCAATGTGCAGCATAAAGAAATCCACATTCTTTATTCACTTTAAGCATTCTTTAAACTGTAAAAAGAATGCCTTATATGGCGGTCATATCTGTTTTGTCTGCCTGCCTATCTGTGACCTAGTATTAGCTCTTAAACCGTTGGACAGATTTTCCCCAAATTCGAAATGGTAAACTTTCATTAGAAGCTGTCGTGAAACTCCGATTTCCTGATAAAGCCTGCTTTATACGCAGGCCCACAAACTCACTTTTCTCTGCATCCCAAAAACGGTTTCACAAGTATCAATATTCGATGTTGGAGACTATCGACAAAACTGGTTGGGCAATTCCGAACTTCTGTCATAACGATCCATAATAAGCTCTAATTTCCACAAATGGAGTTCTTCCAAGTGTCGCATACACTCTCTCACAGACTCTGTTGAAGCTCCGTACGAGACAATTCCACCCCACCTGTTGGGCACATTCAGTCCTGTTCTCTAAACAACGAGAAAGAGGCGAAACTTTCGAAGCATTTGAGATACGAACCGTGAACCGCTACACCAGGTAGCGTCCTATGCATATAGCCCGCAAGCATGCCGTCTGTCTGAACCTCCGTTACATCCCGCCTCCACAGGCTTCGTAAGGAACATTACACAGTATCAACATTTCACTTAAAAATACTGATACACGCTTACATCACCATTAGACAAAATATATATGCCTCGTTACGACTAAGAAAGAAATTTCAAAACAGAGGCATGCATGATTCTAGTCATTCCCAGCGAGCTAAGGTATGTGCCACTGCGAAATGTTCAAAGACAAATCTGGCGTACTCGCTCTCTTGTCATGTCTTAGATTTAAAGAAAATAATTTCGGTTAATTTTCTGGAAAACCGTAAGATGCGTGTTTCATTCTTCTCTCTGCAACTTCGTTCAAAATTGTTTCCCCTTTGTAAATTCTTACAAGCGCAGAAAATCATGTTGGTCTATGTAAATTGTCCGTTATTGTTATCCGAATTTTACGAAAATTCGAATGTTCGATGAGCTTCAGTAACCCCACAAACGTAAGAGTTCGTGACAATATATGGTCACATACATGCAGGCAGGGACAAGACAAGAGGAACTCAAAACAAGGCGATCGGAAGATCAGATTAACGGGTTTACAAGGCAACGTTCGAACGATTCTGATGAGGCGATCTCTCTTCCAAATGCGAAGCAATAGCCTACATACTATAAATCGCTCCGTCAACCCCATAATGCATAGTGGTAACTATAAGCACCACCTCCTATAACGTTACAAATTCCGCGTTTTCCCCACAGACTGTGCTTTTGTGAGATTCGTACAAAAACAGCGACTGTTTCCCTTAACAGCCCTAACCGACTGGTCTCTGTAATGGAGACATAGTATTATTTGTGAGGCAGAAACTGGCCGTTTCTATATAATTACTTACATCAGAGTTTCCCAAACTCACGCTCCGTGAAGAAATTTCAAACGGTCCGCCTCCATCTTCAAAGCCAAGGTCTTTCGTTTATGCAAAAATAAGCACGTGATGTGAATGGCTACATTTTTACATTACTTTCATTTAAAAGTCATGAGGGTGTAATATTGACTAAATTTCACTCTCATTCCATTCAAAATTCTTATAATACAGTGTGTCCGGACGAAAGTAATAAAAATAATTACACCTCAGGAAGCATTTATTATACACACTTATGGGTTACAACATCATAAAGGGGAACTATCGAAGTCTTTTCTTCTGAGTATATAACTTTCTCAATGAATTTCAATGTGGGCTCCCTTGGTAGCACGACAAATATCCAGACGATATTCGACTTCGTTCCACGTTGCTTGAAGCATTTTTGGTGTTAACCATAGCCACACCGTCCCTTATGCGGATTTTCAGATGTTGAAGGTCGTTGCTCTTAACCTGGCAGACAATCTTCTTCACATAACCCCACAATGAAAAATCCAATGGGGTTAAGTCTGGCGACCGAGGAGGCCAAACTATTGGTCCACCTCTGCCCATCCATCCTCCCTGTCACTCTCTCTCCAGATGATTCCTAACATGGTGGCAGGAATGTGGCGGCGCCCCGTCCTGTTGGAGGATACTTTGAGGTGGTAATTGGGGCAGAGCATACAGCTCCAGTATGTCCAAGTACGGACGTTTCCGAAAAAAAAACGGTCCAGCTTTTCGTGCATTAAGCCGGCCCACACGTTCATATTGGGGCTGCCTCTCTCCGACTGATATGTGACATGTGGACTTCGACTACCCCAAATCCTGCAGTTGTACCTGTTTAGAACTCCACTGACATGGAACGTCGCCTCGTCCGAGACGCATCAGTTCCTTCTTGCATGTCCACAGCGAAGTGTGTGCGTGCTAATTGTTCACTCGGCTTTAGTGCATGAATCACTTAAATTTTGTACGCCCTTAGGCGAAGCCTTTTGTGTAGCACATCGTGCACTGTTGAACGTAAAATTTGTACGTAACTGCAAGCTAGCAGTACGAATTGGATGCGCGGACTTCGCTGGAATGCCTCCCTAATGCGACTGACATTTTCTTCAGAGGTCCGTGTCTTTCCAGGAGATTTCACATGCAACAGGCTACCTGTAGTCCTCAGTTTGTTGTCCCAGAACCGAGTGCTTTTCCGTGTAGGATATTGATGTCCATATTGCGTTCTGAAACGACGCTGGACAGCCATAAAGGATTAAAGGATTGTAACTCTGTTAGCCGCAACTGGGACCGACTGGGACTGGACCTATTCCTGTGGTGTCGACCGGTGTCGACAACGTTGAGCTCGCCGAAGGTCACCAGCTGGCCCATGCGCGTAAGCCGGGCATGAAAAAAGCGTTCAGAGTTTTCCTTTCCGATGATATAAACCGAATACGTGAATGGCAATTAGTTTCCGAAATATATATATATATTTTTGTTTTGGATAAATTTCATCCGGACACCTTGTATTTCGTTTAATATTCGGATGGTCAGCCAAAGAATATTCACGCAGTAACACCCGTGGTCCCAAAAAATTCTGAGAACCCTTATCTTACACTGACTTCAGTCTTAAAAGGATTATGAGATTATACCCTAGTAAAAACAAATAAATTAATTAATTAAGGTGTGTCGAAGTAGCGATGTGGGATCAGACCACTATCGGCTAATTTTCATCTGACAGTGCCGTAAGGGCGGAGCAAACTTAAATCGCAATGCCCACAGATCGACCTAGTAGAATCTCGTAAGGTACACATGTTATCTGAATGATATATATATATATATATATATAAATTTCGTTGTTACTTCAGAGAAAACACATCCTGTTGTACTGGTTAATGCTTCAATTCGCTGGGGCAGTCTTGATGGCGCAACTTCTTGTTCTGCGCGTAGACTGTTGGTGTCCTACGTTGCCACTTTTATAAATGTTACCTCCACAAGGTCATCATCAGGTAGATAATTTTACATAATTTCTGCACTGTATTACTTTTTATAGTTCACTGTTCTAAAACTTGGTTAAAACTAGTTCAAAATATTGTTGAACTTCGTTAAAATTAGCTAAAACTTTTTCCTTTCTTCAACTGACACTAGATGATTTCTTTGAATTCTGGGCAGAGTCTTGTTGTGAGGTAGAGCGGCGGGGTTCTATGTGAGCTGTATATTATGCATAATGTGGTATTCTGAAAACATACGAGATGTGTTACATTTAACATTTAATGACTGTTATTTTCTGCGGCAGTACTTGTGATTTCCCTGGATGGTTACCAAGATTGCTGCATTTGATGCTAATGTTGTGTTTCAGTTATGTGCTGCTATCTGGTGTGAAAGCGGTGTAGCGTTTCAAATATTGGTTTATGGGTATCTTTGTGTCATACATATGTAGGCTGACTTTACCGATTAGATAAACATTGTATTTTTCTAGTATATTTAAATGATCCACATTTTCCACACGTTTTTTATATCTACAGTGTCTGATATGGTTCAGTATGTGTGGCCTGTATTGAGTTTGCGATTAGACTACCACGAATTAGCGTCACTGTTCCGTATGGCTAACAACTGCTCATTATACACGGTAATGAAAGCGCATCCTCCTTGTTCATGTATTTCAATTGGCAATCTATACATTTAATTTGGTAGATGCAACTTTCTTTGTGTCTGTTTATTTGTTTTATTGGTATCACTGTGTTCTCTGTTATACAATCTGTGCGGAATTCTATGTTTAACGTTTTTTAAAGAGTTTTGTGATTTGTCTCACTTCCTCTCCACTCAGTTTTGTCCAGTTTACTATTCATGTAATGGGTGTGTTGGATTTATGTAATTTTACTGTGGGATGTAACCTGGGTGCTGCGGGGTTCATTTCACTAAAACCAGTTTTAACAAAGTTTCAGAACAACTAGAAAAATCAATACAGTGCGGCAATTACGTAAAAGCGACAAAGTAGCACACCAACAATCTACGAGCACAACAATCAGTTTCATCGTCAAGGCTGCTCCTGCAAATTAAACATATATTTATTAGGCTCAAGAATGAAGTTAATTTGGCAGAAAGCGTTAAAGGAAATTATCCTCGTTTATTCTAAGAACCAACAGCAGAGTTATACACATGAAGTAAACGGCTGAGAACCTCACTGGAGCAGCTGAACTGCCATTGCAGCGATGTAATATAGGAGTAACAAGGTGTTTCTGTAGCCACCGGCAAGATGCTGCATTCTGAATACTGCAACACACAAGCGGTATGCATTAACAGTGGCAAAATGGCTTCACATTCAAATTAAATTGCGAAGCCATAAGAGAACACTGGCAAGTGCAAGACATTCCAAGTTTCATCATATTGAATACTAAATTGTCACGAACACGGAAGATATAAGCAGGAGCAGTCGTCTCACCTTCGGGTTTTATCGCTCGCTTTGTACATGATCCTACCTAAATCTGTTACACGTTTCAAGACAATGGCTATCATCACTGATGGTCTGCGTACTTCTTACGCAACGGCCAGAATAGTGCCTCAAAGTTACTCAATGGCTGATCATTAACTGTTCTATTTCCAGAAACTATAAAGCTATAAGAGGATCGGTAACTATACGTACCACCTAGCTTAACATTAAACATGGTGATCTCATAAGCCTCCGTTTATTTTTTAAAATAAGGAAACTAAAACCTCTTTATTCAGCCAAGAGAGTGTATGTTCCAAATGATTCTCAGCATAAAAGACGATTATTACTTTAATCAGTACTAACAGGTTGGATTTTGTAATAAAGAGGTAGTGCGCGTTTCCTGAGATACGAAGTGAATTGATATTCACGTGATTAACTAGAGACAGGTTTGGATTGATAACTGCACTTCCTGAACACTTACACACCGTAACTAGAAGCAACAGTAGAGCTACAGCTAATTCACATACTTTACAATTCACTATAGTACGCACTGAGGCTTCTCACTCGGCTAACTTCATCGGTTGTCGCGTGGTAAGGGCTTCCAACGCCGTACCTTCCTCAGCGTCAGTGTTCACGTCTGCACGGCCCGGCGACTGTCTCACAAAAAAAAACTGCGAGGAAGAAGAAGTGGGGGGGAAGAAACTATATCTCCGATTTTGAAGGTTCCCAGGCAGTGCCCGCTTGTCCTTCTGGTAAAGATAGAGCATATGATCGGATTTTTTAAAATTGTTTTTGCTAACGCTGGGAGGGCTACATTAGGACGAAATTCTGATGTTAACAATGGGAGGGCTGCATGTGAGGCATCCAGTGCAACGTGGAATTTGGGTACCAACTCAGCATTTGCTCTGGGTCCGAGGAAAACGACGGAAAATCTTGGTCGAGCTGGCCGGTCGCAGGACCTTCCGGATGCAAACTGACTTCTAGCCAGCAGTCCGGCATTAAATGCGCGAACCCTACACTCTCTCACATCTTACTTGTCCTGCTTATAACAATTCGGCACGGACTGCATAGAAAAAAAATGAGGTGATGCCAAGGTCAGACTTACGCAAGCCTATTGAATCACTCTGACACGTGACAACGCGTTGTGAACACGCACTGTTTCTACACGAGTGCTTTCTCGACTTCGTGTTTCGTTTTGTCTGCGATGGATGGCAAAATCAAGTTTTGCGTGAAGCTCGGTAAATCCGCTACCGAAACCCTTGAAATGCTTCATGAGGCTTTTGGAGAACATTCTTTAAGCCAGACAGCGATTTTTGAGTGGCATTCAAGTTTCAAGGCTGGTAGAGTGTCAGATGAAGATGACGAACGTTCAGGGACCAAGCACAAGCAAAACGACAGAAAGTGTTTAAAAAAATTCGAAAACTCAACAACGAAAACCGTCGCCGAACAATCCATGAGCTCGCAGACACCGTTGGGAGCAGTTATGAAGTTTGCCAGTAGATCTTAACAGAAAATTTGAACACTGCTCCTTCATCACTACAACTTGACCGCCCACACGTCCCTGAAAACCAAAGAGTTTATGACCAATAACAAGATGGTTATCGTTCCCCATCCTCCATACTCGCCGGACTTAGCCCCCTGTGATTTCGATGTTTGCCAAATTGAAAATAAAACTGAAGGTACGACATTTTGAAATTGACATCCAAAGGGAATCACAGGCGATACTCAACAGCATTAAGGAAAATGGCTTCCACCGTGCTTTTGGAGCGTAGGAAAAACGATGGGGTCGCTGTATGCATTCCAAAGGAGACTATTTTGAAGAAGATGCCGGCCAAAATTGACTAAAATTGCTGTAAGTTGTAGACAGGTTAGGAAGCAGCAGCCTTCAATATACTGGCGTGTACAGAATTCCAACAAGATCCAGCAGGGTAACCGATTGCGTCTGTAGCGCTGTGGTGGCCGTAGCCGACCTACTGCACCCGTGCACATAGCCTTTTCTCACAACCAAACTGCCTCTTTGCAAAGCATGCAATAGCAGACGAGTCTACTCACTCTGTACAGCGGCGACAATATCATCAACGAAGGATGACGTGGCACTTACCTGAAAGAATAAAAACATCTATAAATACATTTTGTCGTGTTACATAATAGTAACACTGCTGGTACATAACAGATAACTAATTTATTAAATTGATTCTGATGACTACACATGTAAAAGTAAAAGAAAGTAAAGGTATCCCTGTAACAGGCATTGTAGGCCCATACGGTTGTGAGATGTTGAGGTTCCCACATTATCTAGACAATCGGCTAACAGATGGCGGTGAGGTTGTCAGCCTTATGCGCCGGCTGCCCTTTACCCCCAAGAATATTTCAAAATTATACTGGTAGTCATTTCTGTTAGAGGCTGAGTCGACCCCAGGGCCACAGTGTGGCTGGAAGGATTAGGTAAACTGAAGAAAATGAAATGACCTCATTGGGATTCGATCCCGCGACCTTCCGGCTTGTAGCATAATGCCTCAACCAATTACACTACCCCGTAGTTTGTGCTCTGTAATACGCAAAGTGTATGAATGAAAGCACAGTGGGAAAGTCTTCTTTATCCCCCCTTATGTTTAGCCTCCAAAACTACTGAACAGTTTCAGTTAAACGTGGTTTAATTTTGGTTCGCTTCTGACCACTATAGCTGAAATTTTTGCCATTCATCTTGAAATCGGCTCAGCGATCACAAAATTAGCATATAAAACGCTGCTTTCATTCAGACCTAGGCCTATAATTTGATTTGAAATTTCTTGCACGTTTATCGAAAGGCAAGGAAAAATAATTTCTTGCTTGCTACTGACGTCATAGACGAATCTAAATACATCTTTACAACAATACTTTGTGTTCAAGTGAAAATCAAAATGAATGACGTATGTAAAATTAAACACACATTTGCGAAAAATAATCCAACGAAACATTCATACATCTGTGTGTGATATGAAGTTCCTTCAGAGGCGAGAATGGTGATTATTGTCTTCCGGTATGCGACGCCGTGTAATCAGGAGATATTTCCAACTTTTCGAAGGTGCCTGCTGTCTCAATCTTCAACGTAGAAGAGGGAAGGGGAGTCTTTGAAGATCGTGGAAGTGATTTCCTGTGAAATGCTAGCAAACTCCAGACTACACGGAGTCGCATTCCAGAAGATATTTGTACATCTTTCATTTTCAAGTTTTCATTATTACAGCACATTCCATAAGCAGCCAGCCGTTTACAGGCCTATGCTAGTTACAGCCTTGTCCAGACCAGGATGTGCGCACACCCGCAGGCGATAGCTCTCAACTTATTCGGAACACGAAAACTGTAACTTCGCCATTTTCATGACTCGTAATAGAATTCATCTTTGTCTGTTCACCGGACGAATTAAACCTCATACCAACCATCTTCACTACGACTGTCACCAGTAACTTCAAGTATTAATTTAGTCTATATAATGTAAAGCTTCAATGTCTAAACTTCGTCTAAATAATAACGTACAGCATATAATAATTCAGTTCCAACCTCACAGGAAGACCTTACAGTGACCAGTCAACTGCGTTCGGAAAAAATCTGTCCATTGTGAGAATCACACCAAACTCATGAATACACTGCATAGGCATGATGAAGAACTTTTTAATGTTGGTGGTACATATAGTTACCATTACGTTCAGATACTGAATATGTTTAATTCTCCGCAATAACAATCAGGAGAAGCATGTACTGGACCGGACCGCCGTCCTTGGGCTGTCCCAAACGCAATGCTCTGTCGAGTTTGCAGACTCGCCCCGTGACCCAATGCTCCGTGGAGCAACGGTACCCGTGTCCAGGCCGCGGCCTCGCTCGGGGCGGTATGTAACCCAGCCGGTGGATCAACTCGTTTCGTCCGGCGGTGATGCTGATCACCGGATCACAACCCATTTCTGTAAACGCATATTACTACTCTATCCTCCCATGTAAGACCACAGTTGCAGTTTGATCTTTTCCTTCGCGTTTTCTAACCAAAGCAACGTAACAATTCTTGTTTCTCAAAGCGGAATAACTCCAACCCCCCTACCCAATCAAACACCCTGACGATTGCGCAATTTCAACATTTTCTCTTATTTTCTCCTCCTGAGAACAAATACTAATATTATCCTCTGCATTTTGTTTCCATACACCCCTAGTCTTAGTTCTTCGGTATGAAGCTCCAGATGCTAAAAAGCATAAAAAATTATTGGGTTTTCGGACATTATACAAGTCCCGTTTTTAAATAAATAAAACAGGACGATGAACAATGTCCCAAAACTCAATCACTGATTTAATACGCCACCGTCACCAACTTTAAGACCTTACCTAAAAGACATAAATACGAGGTGGTATCGGAAAGTTCCCGGACTACTGTTTTTGAAACTTCCTCGGTGAAAAAAGATGAGAGGTGAGGTCAAGGTCACACTTAAGCAAGCCTACTGAATCACTCTGCCATGTGACACCATGTTGTGAACGCGCGCTGTTTTTACACGAGTGGTTTGTCGACTTCGTGTTTGCGTGAAACTAGGCAAATTCGTTACCGAAAACATTAAAATGCTTTGTGAGGCTTTTGGTGAACATTCTTTTTGCCGGACAGCGGTTTTTGAACGGCATTCACGTTTCAATGCCGGTCGAGCATCGCCTGAAGATGACGAACGTTAGGGGCGACCAAGCACAAGCAAAATGACAGAAAATGTTAAAAAAAAATCGAACTCATCCACGGGGACTGTCGCCAAACAATCCATGACCCCGCAGACATCGCTGGGAGCAGTCACGGAGTTTACCAGGAGACCTTAACAGAAAATTTGAACCTGCACCGCAC